TTTTAAGAGTGAAGTATTCTTGATTCATTTGTTTTAAAACATTTATTTATTTATAACTCTTTTTTTTTATGTAGAGCACTGCTGGTGATGACTATAGGATACACTGGGCCTGTAACCATCTATTTACTTCTCATTCAGTTTTGATAGAAAACATATAATACAAACAAATTACTTTACCTTAATAGAAGCAGTCGATATTTATAATCCAGTTAAAAAATATGGTTAGCAAATATTCTAAATTATAAGTTTTTGGTACTACAACATTTAAGAACTATCGCTGTTTTAACTTACCAACTACATTCTTTTTGCATTGTTTTGTTTCACTATTTCCAAGAAAACCTCTGTAATGTCTTTATCTATTTCTTAATGAATTTGAATACTATCTAAAAAAAAAGTAAATAAAAAATATACACTTACAAGTTAGAAGCAGATCGTGATTTGTGTTTTTTAAATCTGTTGGCGAGATATGAATTGGTAAAAAGAGGAGATGCTGAATCTGATTTCATCGCACAATCGACAAGTTTCTGCTTGATGTATCTATCGAGAACAGAATCCATATAGCAGTCTAATTCTATAGCCACAGCTGTTTTGTAGTCATCTTTGGGTTGAATATTAAGTGTGTTACCTAAAAAAATGTCAAGAATGTTATTTAATTTTTAAAAAAGTTCACTTTGATAGTAAAAGAGAATCTATAATAAAAAACCAATGAAATATTCCATTATATAAAATTAAATTATCAGTTCTAAAGAAGATATTAAATGTTAGTATACAAATTTATTAATAAACAAATTAGCGCCCTTACTCAGCCTCCGCTGGCTTTTAATACCAGTGAAGTTGTTGAGGGAGAAGCGCAGGGATCTCTTGAAGCCTCGCTTTTTCCTCCACAAGTGGGGGAACAAGTCTGGTTCGGAGTTCCCATGACCGATTGTAAATAGTGTAACTAGGTATGCCTGCGTCTAAGATGTTATTTTTATTTTATTATTACTATTATTTATTTACTTATTTTATTTTTCTATATTTCTTTTTCTTTATTATTTCTATTATTCTTTATTATTATCAGCTATTATTTATATGTACATATTGTGTGAATGATTCACATAGCCCTAATATTAATGCCCTTTAATGTGGCAGAATGTATTAATATTCAATAAAAAAAAACACACACACAAAAAAATAAACAAATTACTAGCTATTCTGTCATTTCCTCTATTCTTAACTGATACTTTTCTTAAGTTTGCCAAGTAAAACCTTCAAGATTAAGAGGTTGAATGTTTTTAGAAGGTCAGATCAGTTACCTCCTTTCAAAATGTTGGACGATTTTCTATATATCTAAGGATCTAATATCTAAGCAGATAGAATACAGCTTCCAGGGATTTAATTTATTTCATACACCAAGAACATCTATAGAAATAATTAGAAAAAAAATGCTTATTGTAACTACTCATTACAAACCAAGGATATTACAAACTGAATTCCAAAACTCGACCACTTCTATTTTCAAAAGTAAAGTTTCAAGTGAATCTCAAAGCTTGTTGAAACTATTATCTGTAGTTTGTTATAAGAATAAAAACAAAGGTTATACCATTTATCTCTCCTAAGAATTCCATTATAACCCTCATCTTGGCCCACTTGCCAAAGTGGAGCAACATCGGAGTGCATAAGCAAGGTCAGGACAGATATGTTGTTACGCATCAAAGGCTGTTGCCTTGGTGTGAAAGCTTACTGTTGTAAGCTCTTATTAACATAGATGTCAAAAACAATGTAAGTCTGCACATATCTGGTTTTGACACCAACAAATTACTGTTTTTTTTATGGCTAATGAAATATTATTTTCCACATTATTAATCACGCAGGAAAGGATTGGTGTTAAATTTATCCCAGATTATTGCACCAATTAATATAGATCATAGGCTAAAAACTGTATTAAAACTTTCTTGATTGTTGTATCAAGCCCACTATTTAATCCATATACAAGTACCTCATATCAAAGACGGACATCTCTTAGTTTCAGAAGGTGGAGAAAAAGTCAATTTTTGTTTTAATGAATATTCAAGTTGAATTATGAAAATAAACCATCAGAATTGATACAAATTATAGTTCTGTTACAATAAATGGCCTTTTCTATACTTTTAAAAATGACAGAAATGTCTTTGATATAAGACCACTTATATGCTTATTATATGCTGTCAAGTTGAAAAAAAAAATTATAAGTGAAAAAAAGTATTTTATGTAATACTTACATAATTTTTTGGAAGTGTAGAATGAAAATCTAGAATTAAGAACATTCCAACAGTCATTAATTCTAAAATTGTCCTTGCTTTGTTCACTTTTTAAAGTTGCTGACAATTGTGTAGTCGTTATCATAGAATCAAGAAGGTCTGTATCATTTCTGCTATCCATATTTTATTTCAATTTGTTACAATTCACAACAAAACAACCACAGTTAGTCAACTTTCAATTACTGGCGGGTTAATCAAAAACTACAGCCAAAATTTTATACAGCCTTCTGTATTAGCCATAGAGGTTCTCGACAAAAACCTTACTTGGAATTAAATATGACGGCCTTCTATGACGTAATCAATGTGAACTTCGGGACTTATTTATTGTTCTTAATTCTTTGGATTGGAGTGTTTACAAAGTAGTAAAAAAACTACTTATTGGAACGAGAGTGATTAGTAATTATGTCGTTTTAAGTACCAGTTTTGGATTATTTTTAACATTACTCGATAACAAGTAAGACCATTAATACCATTACTAGGTACAGCACTTAAAACTGATGATTGTACAAAAAAAAAAAAAAGTATGAATATTTGCCGCAATTATTCGTCTTACATATACTTTTCTCATATTGTCACACATTTCATGCATCCAGTGAACGCAAACCTTTACTGTGGGACTCCCGGGCAATGTTTTTATCTTCTCCAAAAAAATGTAATTTATTTCTTGTGTTGTTTTATATTAAGTAATAAACTGTTGGCCAAAAAATTTCGACTGAATATCAGTTTTTATCCTCTTGCCAGTTCAAACGCATTGGTTTTGCTTGTGTTTTTTTCTCCCTTGAAAAACATTATTTTATTTGTATTAAACATTTTAAAAAGTTTAAAATGGTTTGAGACCCCTTGGTAGTCACTAAGATTAAAGCGTTCATTGAAAACGGCCGAAGTCATTGATACTTTGACGCCCTTTAGTCCAAGGGCAGCCTGAAACAACGGTTCGGTGAGCAGTCAAGAAAGAAAACTACGTCAGAAAGCTGAGATCAGGCTACCCAAGAGCGAGAAGTCCAGTTGATAAATGCTTTATTGCTATACAGTCCCTCAGAAACCGCTATCAGATTTCAGTTGAGATTTCTCACCGATTGCGTATTGCTCGGGGTGCAAATGTCAGCGCGCACACAGTAAGGGAAAGGCTAGCTGAATTCGACCTGCACCCTACGGTCCAATATGTCTTTAATTTAGTTGCTTACTGAATAGGCTTATTTATTCTCATGCAGTTTTTATTTATTTATTTTTAATTAATATTAAGTGGCTGCGCCTCCGCACTAGCTCCCTCTAGGATGGCCTCTCGGTTGCTGAGCTCTCCCGCAATGTTAGGCAAACTTTCCACGTCATATTTATGAAACTAGTAAATCAGGCTTATTTTGCAGAGAAAACTTTGAGCTGAGTTAAGATCAGGCAACTTATTTTGGCATATTTAATGATTTATGAAATTACTATATCATACAGTTAATAGCTGTCACTCACTGAAGAAAAACAAACTAGCAATCAATATTTGACCAGTCATTACCAGCTTAGACCATATACCTTCTAATTTTCACAGTAGAGCACACTGGAGGTGGTACTTAGAGGAGAAAGAATTCCATAAACTAAATTTTAGGAAGTGGGAACGACATTTAAGGACGAACTATTCCATTGGCACTTTTCTTTCACTTGGTATTTTGATTCCCATGCTTTTTGTTTCAGTCAGCTGGTAGTGCCTTCCTTGTACACAGCACTTCTTTCGAGTTTTGATTATTCCATTCATTCTTGTCTGAAAAGTAGGATCCTTTTTGCCAACCCCTGATGGATACCTTTTGGTGGCCATCGAGGTACTTACCAGAGTGGGAGTATCAAGATTCAATTCACTATGTTCAACTTCTCATTTCAAGTGATTTATAAAATTTATTTATTCATACATGGGTAAAAATGTACTTATTCCTCAATAGATGTGGATCAGTTATTATGTTTAATTTTTAGAACTAATACTTACGTGTGCCAGGTACATATTATTATTGTTTGTAGGTCTTCTAATCATGAAATCAAGTACAATTAAATTCAATACACCAACTATAAAGCTATCTAAATATCCTATAAGGCAATAAAGAATACACTCCTGTTTTTAAAATGGCTCCTTATAGAGTAGAATTTGTTTTACACACTTCTTAATTTTAAGTTGAATGCAGGTAGTCATCTTGATCTGTCATGAAACAATACAGCAAAAGCCCAAATGATAATTATCTTTAGAATGTCTTTTGATATTTCTAACCAATCTTATTTATTCGTCGTCTTAACAACTAAGCCTCATTGGCAAATGATGAGTATTATTTACGAGTAAAAAACATTTAATTTGAAAATAAAAATTCAAAGTAATTTATACTGGACCATAAATTAAAGGCCATTACATTTGTATTCCAATACTCTTCCTTAGCTCATCCATCAATCAATGTTTAAACAAAATAATTTTAATTAACAAATTTCAAATTTTACTAAAAATCACTAAGTCAATCACTCACTGATCAATCAGACAAATAATTGTTAATAGATAAATTAATAAATATAAAACTACAAATTACCATATGCAACAAATTGCATGAAATAGTAAATAATCCTTTTATTTATTTTTTTTATTTTGAGTGGGAACATATAATCACAAAAAAAAAGAAAGAAACTTGTTGGGATTAGATACCAAAGATTTATAGGCAGGAGAGGTAAGATGAGAAATAATCAACAAAATTTGGTATCGGTGTTATGTTTTCATTTAATTTAAAACAGAAAACAGTGAGTATCAAAAATAAAAAGAAATGTATTTACATTTAATGTAATTAATTATAATGATATTCTGTTTTTAAAATATATAATTAACAATTAAACTCAAATTTTGATTTCTAAAACTAAAAGATCACATTTTTTTCAATTTTTAGATTTAAGTTCATTACAAAGAAGATATAAACGATTCATAGCTTCCATCGATAAATAATGTGACAGTGACATGTTTCCTTTTTCTTGACTGAAGTGAAGTTTCAAATTATCAAAAAGTTTTAACAATATCTCAGCAGAGTTCTACAACAAATTAATTTGTTATTAATTTACTTCATTCAATTGAACAATATTAAATAAAGTCAGGGAATATATACTTTATTATACTATCAAATAAAAATATTCGCCAGAGGACACAAGTTAGAATTCAAGGAGAGAAAATAACAATTCAGAATGAAATTATAATTCTAGGTTTGTTGGTAATAAGCAGTTTCAAAGTCACATCGATGATTAGCAAACTTGCTACTAAATTGGAAGAGAATTCAATGCGACATCTAATACGGACTATGTGAACCATTAAAATAATCTTATTGGCTTTGAACAGTGTGTCATGTAAGATCGGTTTCCATGAGAAAACATCAAGAGTGAATGTGGGCATAATTAGCCATGGGTCATTTCTCTGGAACAAGAACCTCCCACACTGTAGAAGAGCAGGTTGGTGGATCAAAGATATCTTTACTAAGAGACAATAGGACTTATTTTTCATGAAATTGTTCAAGTCTTAGAGGGACCGATTCCACTTCCACTGAGATGTCCAACATGCACACTTAGAAGAGGGTTCAGAAAGTATAGAATAGAATTATCAACAGTTAATTAGTTTATATTTATTATTATTATTATTATCTAAGCCACACTAAGACCCATAAATTTGTAACCGTTATTATTCTTGGGGAACTGTGGTCCCACAATAAAATTATTTTTTCATTCCATTTCGTAATAGAATTTTCAAATGAAGATTGAGAGAAATCCTAGCAAATCGAAAAAGAGTAAAATTGGCAAGCCCTAAAGAACCTTCCAGAAGAACTCTCCACTATTCTGCTAATTTCAGAAGAAAATTAGATTTTCCAGGACCAGTAGAATCAGCAATGCCTTACAGGCAATGGAGGACTACTGTACCTCGCTTATTGGAATATCATCACAAACCCCACTACCTTTGACTTGCTTGCTACCAAATTACTACAATTAACTGGACACAATATCATAACAGAAAATGTCTGCTCTCGGGTAGTCACTGAAAATGACTACCTAGACAACTAAGTTTTTGTGACTGAGTGGAAAACTGGAACAGCAAAAAAATTTATCCTGGAAGAGCAATTGCTCCACAAAGACAGCTGGTCAGAGGAGCTCAGAAGCATATGATACTAATAAATTGCATTAATAAATTTAGTTACTGTTATAACATAACTTCCATCAACTTATGAAAACAAATAACCGATAACCGGTGAGGGACCTTTGATTTATGAATACCAAAATATAGCTGTAACAAATTATATCAAATCTGACAACAAATATAAGAAAAGTTTTATATTAGACTCAAAAATGTTTTAAGAAACTAGAACAAATATAATGTAGTCATCATATTTAAACAACAGATTATTAATAATCATTTTCCTAACAAACATACTTTGTCATCTTCAGGTAATCTGGTAATGATAAATTTAAGAATATACATGAAACAAAAATAATAGTTAGGAGTAAGATTTCTAACTTTTGATTCATTTTCTTCTAAAAACTTTACAACACTGTGCCAATTGACAACCTGAAACCAGAATAAAAAAAATATAAGTACATATATAATAACATAATTAACAACTATCTATTCCAACAAAAATGTCAAAATATTTCACTGTAATTATAAAACAAAAAAAATGTGACAATTCCATTTTAGAATGTCCTAATAAAACACCCCTTACTGAATCAAACACTCTCCATAGTAATCTTTCTTTGAAATATAGTTTGTGCTGTTGACAAGCAATGTATTATACCTATTTAGTTCGACTGCATAAATGTGATTCTGTGGTTTTCAGAACTGATGACTGAATTGGTGAAACGCTGATCAATTAATTATTAACTGCTATTAAGATAATAAAAGCTTTGTTTTGAATCTAATAATAATAACCTAGCTGTAGTAGAAGTCAGAATAAGAGGTGAGTGACGTTCAGAGATATCCCTCTCCCTCGTCCATATTTAATCTTTTTTCATAATACAGTATTACCATCAATAAATATCAAGTTATCATTCATCTTTTATTCTGACCTCTACTGCAAGGATAGTTTCAATACAAGAGAGAAAAATCTTCCTCAAGGTCACCAATCTCTTGTTCTGTCTTCTACTATAACCTTTATATTATAGAGAGATTTAGTTACTAAAAATTGTTGAAAGAAAATAAAATTCTTACTTTAAACTCAAGGAGTAGTAAATAAAAACATAATAGTCAAATAATATATTACAGTTAGAAGATAACTAGTTTATCAGATATTGTGAAAAGAGAATAATATAATTTTTTTTTTATTTATGGCTATATGCTTTATACAAAAATTGTCTATAAAATAGTATATTGCTATTATAGAGATGATTGCTTACTTGGTTATCAATAGAACATGCTTGTAAGCCAAGGATAGTAGGAAGATATGTCCATGCAAAACGTGCGCTTAAATCAACATATAACCCACTAACTGGTAAAACTTCTATAATACGAAACCCTTCTTCTGGTTTTAAATCTAGGCTGATCAGCCAATCAATTTCATTCACAACCTTTAAAATAAAAACAATTTAAAATCAAAATTCAACTCTTACATAATCATTACTAGGTGGGTAGGGTAAGGATTTTAGGAAGATAAATTGTGGGATTATTATCCCCTAAAACCATCACTACAATCATTACTAAAGACTGGATTTTCATGCTTTTAATATTCATATAATAATTAACAAATATTCAAAATTGGGAAGTAAAAATCCCAAAATGTGTAACATATATAACATCTCAAGAACGCAAAAATCATAGGTGTTGTTTGATTTATTATATTAATAAACAGTAAGCTTATTTAGCTCTAATATAAAGTTAAATAATCTTTATATATAATAATATTATTATAAATTAAACAAAAACTATGATTTTTGCATGCTTATGGTATTAAAACTATTCCTATTCTACATGCTTGATGTAATATATAACATTTCAATTTTACAAATTTTAAATCCTTACAGCTTGATTTTGCACATTTTGTGTTGCTTTTTTTTACTGCAGCATTGTTCATATTTTTACTACACAAAAACCCATGCTCTAATCATTATTATACTAAATAAAATAACTAATTATGATTTGGTAATGTGGCTTCTCAAATATCTGATTAAATATAAGACTGATTAACAAGTTGATACCTTGTAGTTAATTTCATATTAAGATTTTAAAAAGTTGCATGAAATAGATTTAGCAATATTTTTGCAAATCAATTTCATGGTTAACAGAATAAATTAGAATTGGGAATAATTATAATACATGTATAATATTACATTGAATCAAATTATTAACAATATATTTACAATAAATATTTTAATTCGCCAATACTATCAAAAATACAAAACGGATATATATTGTAAAGAATAAATAAATATTTTCCCTTACATTATATTGCACAGCAAAAACTAACAGACAAGCAGATATTAATTCTCTAAATTCAGAGGTCAAAGAAAATGTTTTAGTATCCAAAGAAGAAAGGCAAGCTTGTCTAAATAAATCTCTGGCATCTCCAGCATTATAATCTAAAATAAAAGTACAAATAAAAAATTAAATAATAAATTTTGAAAATTAGCCATTTAAGCCCTATTGCAGAATTTCAATGATAACAAAATCTACATTATATTAAAAACTACTTAATTTTGCACTGATACAATGAATTTAATCAAAATGATTAAAGCCATTTTTGAGAAAATAGTAAAAGTGTGTTCATCGATGACAAAGTGTCACTTCTGGTCAGCCAATTTTGACAAAAAAGTTACTGTTACATGCCATACATGTCAAAACGTTAAATACATAATTTCACTTTTGTACAACTTTTCCTTTTTGAGCTAGACTGTTCACATATATACATACACATAGACCATATTGCAGGACTTGGTTATTTGGACTCTGAGGACCTCAAAACATGTATTGCTGTTGAAAACTCAGATACAAAAATTTTCATGATTGTAATATTTTTCCTTACTATATTACATTTACAGATAATGAAAGGAAGAGGGCGGGGTGGCCGAATGGGGAAACACTTGTGCACAGCACCGCGAGTTGCCCGGCAACCAGATAACCGACTTATGGCAGATAAAAAAGTACGAGTTCACATCCCGGTGCCAGGGGGGATTTTAAATTCCCCCTTCACTCTCTGGCCCAGGAAAACCTGTATAGCCTTAAAGGCGAGGACACAAAAAAAAAAAAGTAATCAAATTCTAGATAGCTCCACTTATTCTTACATAATTATAGGTTATATAACAATAATTAATACTAGAAAATACGTAATATTTTATAAGTAATATATAAAAGATATCGTCAGTTTATTTTAATTTTAGGCTTTTATGAATGTCGACTTTATTTATCTATAAAAAACATTGTAAGCCCATGTTAACTAAATATAACCTTTTATTTATTATATATAGTTACACTATCTTTAAAATTTTCTGATTTCACAAAGCAAAAATTCATCAAAGTTTTGAGGTTGTGAAATGTCACTTAATGACCTTTTGCAATAAACCAATGATTACACTGTAAATGTAAACTTTAACCAAACTCCAGGTTGTAACGCTCATCCTTTATTTCACATGAGAAATGCACCAAATGTAGACAAAAGGGTTTGTAGAATAAAGGTTATTTTATAAATAACAGAACATTTATTCATCTTTAATCATTTTTAGGAAATAAAAATATACAATTTTCAAACTAACTAACTGCAAACATTGTGATGCTATCTTTTCTCGAAGTTATATATACACTGACAGGCAAAAAATTCCACCCACTTGATTTTTTCATGTTTTCATCTAAAAATATTTCTGCTTTGGATTGGTCTATTGTTTTTAATTAATAAATAGGTAATCTTTTTGTTTGCTTTCAATTAGGAATGTTAATATAGAGGACAATAAACCTTAATCCTTAATTTAATGAAACGATTCTAGATTCCAATATTTACTTTCTATGGAATCAAAATGTTTATTCAGTATCATTAGTTCAGTGCCGTTTCTTGCAGCACATTTCTTAGTCTCCGGCTTTTAATTTTTTCAATATTAAGTTTAAAAATCCTCTTAGTGCTGAGGATGTTGCGCGTGGTGTGGCACTTATTGATGATGGACGTTCCATTAGATATGCAGCTAATGCCATCGGAGTTCCATATGAAAATTTACGAGGCGCCGCCAAGCGTTTTTGGGAAACTGGTTTTTACAATAGGTTCTTGACGGCCTGGGGTAACAGAACCACGGGATGACCGGTTTTTGACTTTGAGAATTTTACGAAACAGGCACCTTACCGTTGTTCAAGCGATTCATCAGCTCGAAAAAGTTCGAGGTGTGAAAATTCCTGAATGTACCGCTCGGGGAAGATTAAATGAGTATGGATTAATGGCTTTTCGTCCAGTAAGAGGACCAGAACTCACAGAGTAACATGGCTGGCTTTTGCTCGAGAAAACAGCCATTGGACTATGGACGAATGGAGTGCCGTACTTTTTACAGATGAGTTAAGATTCGCTCTTCGATTTCCAGACGGGCGTGAAAGGGTGTGGAGAAGAAAAAACGAAAGATATACAGCCTGTAATTTTCCACAGAGCCAACCTTTCTTCCTTTCCAACGTGGTTCCTTGATGGTGTGGGCTGGGATTTCAATGGAGCGCCGCACAGAATTGGTTGTTGTTCGTGGAGGGTCTTTGATAGCCATTCGCTATGTAGATGAGATTTTGGAAGCTCATGTGTTGCCTATCCTCAACGAAATCAGCGATCGTTCTATTCTAATGCACGCCCACATGTCGCCCGCATAGTGCAGACGTTCCTTCAACAGAACAATATTGAGGTTTTAGCCTGGCCAGCACATTCTCCAGATTTGAACACCATTGAGCATTTATGGGATAACCTCAGATATGGAACTCCGATGGCATTAGCTGCATATCTAATGGAACGTCCATCATCAATAAGTGCCACACCACGCGCAACATCCTCAGCACTAAGAGGATTTTTAAACTTAATATTGAAAAAATTAAAAGCCGGAGACTAAGAAATGTGCTGCAAGAAACGGCACTGAACTAATGATACTGAATAAACATTTTGATTCCATAGAAAGTAAACATTGGAATCTAGAATCGTTTCATTGAATTAAGGATTAAGGGTTACTGTCCTCTATATTAACATTCCTAATTGAAAACAAACAAAAAGATTACCTATTTATTCATTAAAAACAATAGACCAATCCAAAGCAGAAATATTTTTAGATGAAAACATGAAAAAATCAAGTGGGTGGAATTTTTTGCCTGTCAGTGTATAATCTTGACTTATAAACAGAAATCAGTACCTCATAATGTAGGACAGGTAAACAATAAAGTATATAACAAAGGTATTCTTGAAAATGGAGGAAAAAAATATTATGAACGAAAATTCTGGAGTTTAAGAAGCAAGATAAATCACCAAGTAAAATTTGTCTACCGAATGGACAGTCCATACGAAACATTGAAAATTAATGAATGAATAATGAATTTGAAAGAAAATTTTTATAGTTACAGAATCCTTATATTTATATTAATTATAAGGATAGCTTCAATAATAGAACATATATTGGTAAAACCATGAACAAAAAAATCATTGAATATTTTAATAATTAATGACTACACAATGGGAAAAAATACTGAAGCACTATAACAAAATAAGATAAAAGTTTATTAAAATAAAATTGTAGAATACAATGAGAAATGTAACAAAAATTATGTTTGATGGCAGAGAGCTGGCTAGAACAGAATTTTATAGGACCTGTGACACACTCCGTCAGTAAAGGATAAATTCTTAATAACAAAATAAAGCAAGTGGCTTCACTCTGTGGGACAAATTTTGGGCACCCTACTTTCAAAGTGTGAATTCCACTAAATGTTAACATCTGGTTGATAGTAGTTAATGCATACTTACCATATATTTAATGAACTAAGATTATGTAAACACCCAGGTCATCCACTAAAAACAAAATACGCCTTACAAAATGTGGCTGTGTGTTCACTGTTAAATTCAATAATAAGTACAACTGAAGATGGACCATGAAAATCCCTATAATTGTACCAGCTTTCTGTCAATAAACTGCTGCACTTAGCAAACTTCACTTTCATTAATCTCTAGTTTGTTGATGAGATTCATTGACCTAATCAACAAACTAGAAAAATAATAAAACATGAAAAGGCTAGAGAAAATTACATATAGAATCGATAATCTTTAGCTATACAGAATACAAATGATAGTTCAGTTATTTCTTACTTGTAACTGATTTTGAAATTAGACGAATCAGTAATGGAAGACTAATACCACCCCATTCTTTAAAATTAATCATATGAAAAGGAATAAATTGCTTGGACAGGAATTTAGTCAAAAGATGCATTCCTAGAACATCTGTTTCATGTATTAAGAGGTTCAAACAAAATTTAATCAGTTTGTTTTTCTCCACTTCTCCTTCAACAGTCTAAAACAAATGATTAAATTACTTTTCATAGGTTGCATTCAAATAAACTAACAGCAATTAACATAACAAATTGTTGATTCTAAGTAATTATTAACATTTAGAAGGTGGCATTGATAAATAAGTGACTGAAGGAAACACATTCATAAGCAAAATAGTTAAGAAAATAAATTCCATATAGATCTTAAAGTGTCCTAAATAAATAAAAATGGATCCTTTTGAAATATACTGAAATCAACCTTAGTCCATAATAATCAAAGTTCTGACTAGTATCCCAAATAAGCTCAGTTCTACTTCTAACCAAATAGATAAATCTATTCACTACAAAAAATTTTACATCTATTCATTAATAATCTGAAAAAAAATTATTGAACTCATAGCTCCACTGCATTGTAAGGTTCTTGTCAGTAATGCTCCTGATTCACAGACCACGAACTTACTTAAACTTTGTATACATTTTAAGTAATCGAAAGTCTAAAGTAATTATCTACCTAACATTACCTAGTTCTGCCATAAATACTGTTACAAAATTTTTTTAAATGTTTTTCCCTAGCTTGCCTTATAGGCTATATGGGATTTTACCGGGGCGGAATTTAAAATCCTCTCCGGCACCGGGACACGAACTCGTACTTTTTTTAATCCCATAAGTTCGGTTACCTGGTTGCCGGACAATTCGTGGTGCTGTGCACATGCGTTAGCCCATTGTCATCCAGCCCCCCTTTGTTACAAAAGTTGAACTTTGTTTACACATCCTTGGGTATTATTTAGATAATCCTTACCTTTATCAGGTTATTTTATTTAAATGTCAGGATAATAATCTCAATTAGTATGTATTTTTCTTTCGTTCGGTTAACATGGAGTGGGCTGAAAAAGAAAGCCTAATGGCTGTGATCGCCTTCCACAAAGTTGGAAAACGTAGGTCACAGATTTTCAACACTTTGAAAGCTTTGGGTATCAGCCGTGTGTTCGTGTACCACACTATAAATAGATATAATGAGACCCTATCTGTATGTGACAGACCTTGACCAGGTCATGAGTACAATAGTTGCTTAAATCAGAAGAAATCCCATACAAAAACAACAAATCATGTCTCGGGAAATAGGAATCTCTGTCAGATCAATGTCACGCAGAATAAAAAGTGAACTTAGGATGGGTGCGTTTCAAAGAATAACAGGACGAAGGCTAACCACTTTCCTAAAAAAAAAAAATAGAGTGGCTAGATGCAATGTGCTCCTTGGCCATTATACCAATGGTCTTCTTTGAAAGTTTTGTTTAACGATGAGAAAACTTTTACAATTAAAGAAAAATTTAAATGCCAAAATTATCGTGTGTATGCACACAGCTCTAAAGAAGCCCAGAAAGTCATTGGAAGAGTGGAATGAAGTCATCCTTCATCAGAGATTATGGGGATTTTGCTTTGATAGCACCACAAAGCTCCATTTTTGTGAAAAAGGAGTAAAAACCGGTGCTAAAAACTATCAGGACAGTATTTTGGAATCTATTATCAAGTCTCTAAATGATACTCTGTTTGCAGGAAGCTCACAAGGTCAGGTCAACTCAGCAGTGGCAGCAAAAGAACAATCCAGAGTTCATCTCTATCTCAGAATGGCCCTCAGGAAGCCCTGATCTCAACCCAATAGATTATCAGGTTTGGTCCGAAATGGAGAGGATGGCTTGCCACAGAGCACACCCTAACTTGAAAAGTCTCAAACAATCTCTGGTCCAAGCAGTTGAGTACTTTCCTCAAGAAGTGCTGCCTGTTGCTATTGATGACTGGCCACGGAGAATAAATGCCTGTGTCAAGGCAAAAGGGGAAATTTTTGAGTAATCTCTTTTTGTTTTACTCTCTATAGATACAAATTTAATTTTGAATAAAGTTTTTTGAAAAAATTAATTTTTCTGTTAAAATCTGTATATTCTCTTGTAACAATATTTATGACAGGACTAGGTATGATAAGAGTTAAAGCACAAGATATAATCAGAACAATCTTTAAAAATCATTTAAAGAATTGGAATTATGGTACATATTGTGATACTTTGCTATTTATTAATTGAAATATAAATTTTGAAATTATTAACAAAAGACAAACATACTCAGATATTACCAATGTCAAATGTGGAATATGGAACATGAATTCATCAAGATTCATTTCATAATATTGGGAACCATTACTCAGCCAAAGGAATGGTTGAAGATTATCTGAAAACAACCAGACAAATATTCATAATACATATGAATGAGGTATTTAATTAAATATTTAAAATGAGTTATTAATTCCATACCCTTAGTAATTTGTTCTTGCTCAAAAAATGTACGCCCCTGAGGAGAAAATAATAGAACTTCAGAAGACTTAGGTACTGTTTTGACTTCAAGTGGTTCATCATCTTTCACTACCATAAATTCCAATGTAATTATCAATCAACTAGTAATGTAATTTAAAAATAAACATCATAAAATAGTATTGATGTACACTAAATTCGAGCTACCTTTTAAACTATTAGCAATGACATTCAAACATTCCTTTTCCGTTTCGAGAATTCTTTTCCGTAATTTTTCTTTCTTTACTTCTTGTAAGTTTCTATCTTTTGCCGAGGGTAGAAAATTACTCTAAAATCAATAATTTACAAACATACAGCTTGGATTGCCAAAGTGATTGAATATCAAATGAAAATATAAAATAAAATGAGTATTACTCTCTTTACTGGTGAAGGTTCACAAAAGTTTGTTTCACAGAAGTCATCATCTGATAGATCACTTGACATTATTGATTATAATAGGATCCTACTTTAGTGAAGATTCTATACATTGTTCTATAACAATCCAGAATTAGACTCAGTGGAGGACTTATTCACATTATTTTAGGTTTATTTTTTTTTAATGAAAAAATAAGTTATCTAGAACAAGGATCATGTAGAAAATAGAATCATTGTTATCTTGATGAAAAATAATACTTTACTGATAAAGAGTGTAAGTAAGTATTATGGGGAATCTTCACGAAATTTTTCATTCGTTAGTAAATAAAATAACATTCGATAAGAAAATTATTCGTTAGCTTGATACAAAATACAACAATCAAACTTGCCAACTACATAAAAAAATGTTACTGATTACATATTTGTATTGTAAGGCGCTATAAATCTGACAAAGAGCTTGGTAATTTTAAAAGCACCGAGGTAAGTCAAGATTAATCACATTTAGAAACATGTATGTATTGAAGTTTAAACTAATCAGTCAAATATATAAAGGTACGTTTATGTATTTCTCAAACTATGGGAAACACAATTATCTAATTTAACTTACAGCGGCATTATTACTAAACCTAAACTATTTATTTTATTTCTCTTGGTATTGACAGAAGATGGAAAATATCTAAAACGAAAATACGGGCTTAGTGAAGTAACCATTTATATATTTTTTTGTCCCATAGTTTGTGAAATGTGTAAATGTACCTTTAAAAGACAAATACATACAGGAGGAGGAGTATAGGAATGTGGGAGCGATTGGAGTCCCCTAACCTTAAGAGACCTCTTCCATTCCATATATTGTTTCTTTCCTAGAAATTTATGATAAAATATTTCTAAGAATTCTAATAGAACTACACGAGAGCGTCCATCCTCTCAAGATCGATGATTCCATTGTTAGCAGGGATTTTAATAATATTACTGTTAGCAAGGACAATAGAGGAACAGTTTTTAGCAATGTAGCTTTTCTGTTTCCAACCCTCCTTTACTACTCCAGTAGTTACATATAGCAGATACTACATAGAAACCTGCATTTTATAATTATTTGCAATGAATTATTTCAATGACCAGAATGCTCAGAATAATAACATTCCCGTGAGATGATTTTGTGATTATTAACTTAACACTATACTAATGTTTTTTTATTTAATTGAAAATATTCTGAAATTACATGTAAGTTATGAGGACTAGGAAAATGAATATAAATTTTATTAGACAAAAAATTTATTATCATTGTTTTACAAAAATAGTATATTTTGATTTATTTACACAAATTATATTTGATACTTATTGAAAAAACGAAGAGAACTATATTACACTAACAGAAAATATATCAATAAGATTTTTTTCAGACTCTATAACTAAGTTAGTACCTAATTATACTTAATTAAACAGTTGACAAAATATACTTATTTTATTATAATAACTGGTGAGAAGTTTTAATTATAATATTTACAAATAAGTCTTAAATTTAAGCAATAAATAAATGGTTTGTACTTGCTAACATTAAATACACTGCCAATCACCTTTAACAGATATGTATTTTAAAGTGAAACATTTTCTGATTTTAAGGTTTGAAAAAAGAACAAATCACCTCCTCTTAGTATGATTCTTAAATGTTTGCTTTCATACATATTTCATGATCACTTGTAGCAACTTGATGACAAGTTATACTTGTTACAAGGGCCATTAAATCAAGTTTTTTGTCTTAAGCTATGTTTTTGATTAAAACCAGCCAAAGAAAGACTATAGTTTAGAAGAAATAAACTCTAACGAATAACAGATCTTTTCAATAAGCAGAATCCAAAATTCTTTCAGCAACGTAGTGATTAAGTGACTGGTTAATACAATAATAGTTTAGAAATGACTTCTAAAGTTATATGGCATGATTTTTTTTTTTTTTAATGTTGGAAATCATTTATATGGTATCGAATTTTGATTTTGTCTATACGCTACATTAGATGTTGGTTCGAACCCTCCATGATTTAGAGCCAAAATTTTTGTTACAACACTGAGATCTGCTTGTGTGTTTCTGGGCAATCCATAACCGATTCCTGAAGAACTTAAAAGACTCTGTATTTGTCCTGAAACTGTAGATGGGTAGTTGTTATAGCCGAAGTTGCCAATCTGATTTGTTGGTTCTCTTCTATGAACTCTGTTATGCTCATACTGAGGAACGCTGTAATCGACACTTTTATGGAATTCAAATCCTTGGCTCGGTTGAAAATTGTTCCTGTTTAGATTCAACATTTGGCGTGGAAATTCCTGGTACCTTAAATACTCAGAGGGCCCTTGGTAAACTTGCTGCCTCAGTTGTTCACTTTGCACAGGTTCCGGCCTCCTTTGATAACTATGGTGATAATAATAGTTCAGATTGTTGTAGTGTGTTTGCTGCCTTTTCATTTCTTCTTGTTTTTTCTGTAACATTATTTGTCTCTGTTGGGAAGGAGATATATACCTGGACTTCTCCTGTTGTAGAGATTTTAGCTGTTGATAAAGGATGAATTCTTTTTCTTCAAGTTCTCTTTGTCTCCGAGCTACAATTTCTGGGTCCTCTGTAGGTGCAGGCGGAGCAGTAGAGTGAGCATAATCTAACGGTACAATGTTTCTTGGTATCCCTTTATCGTCTTGTTGTACAGTAAATGCTGCCACAAGGGGAGAAGCAGCAAACTCAACTGTATGTCGTACGTTTTCAAATTTATTTTTCTTCTCCTCTCTTTCTTTTTCCACTGTTTTTGAAATATTTCTCCTAAATGATAATGATAAAAGTGGAGTTGTATTCTCATCTTGATATTGTGCGTCAGGTATATCTATTGGAGTAGGGCCCATCACGACTATGTCACTTCCTGGGGTCGGTTTAGTCGGAACCAATTTCGAGTCTACCGCTGAAGGAACAAAATCATATTGTACAGAAAATGGTTTAATTCTCTCTTCATTGTTAGACTGGACAGACAGAACGTTACTTTCAGGCTGGTCTTCTTCACTCTTTTGCAAAATAACTGATTCCTCTCCCAACTCTGTCCGTTCTGGAGTTTCGACCTGATAATAGTTAGACTCGGTTTTTCTTCCCTCCCTTGTTATGTAATTCTCATTTGCTGAACTTGGGTACTGTGTTATTACAGTGCTGTCTGATTTCTCTGAATCCTGAATATTTTGTACCGGTTGATACCTATAACCTCCGAAATCGTTGTCCTGCTGTACTTCGGCACTTGGATAGGTTTGGGTTTCTGGTTGGATGGTAGAGATCGGTTGGACAGTTACAGGCGGTTCCTCAGTTTGGGATTCTTTCGACTCTTCATTTCCGTTTGGTGGAGGAATGGTTTCAGACTGTCCCTCACCAGTTTTTGTCGTAGATTCGACATCTGTATTACTTGGTGTATCATCGATTTTCTCCGGCTCACTTTTCTCGGGTTCACTTTTCTCAGGTTCATCATTCTGTGGTTCAACGTTATCTAATTCACTTGTGGCGGGTTCATTAGGGCTAATGTAATATTTTTCATAATCAGAGCTTCTAGATTGGGCCTCTTTTTCGTTTGCAATATTTTTTTCAGAATCGGTTAACTTTTTACCGAATTCACCATCCTCACCTTCTCTGAATTCATTTACTTTCGTTTGTTCTGCAGACAATTCCACGCTTCCTAAGTCTTCTGAAATAGCTCGATGGGCACTAAGAAGCCGCAAATAATCTTGATGTGGAAAATCGTGTGGCAATGCTCCCTTGTCGCTGATCTTTTTTATTACCCTAAGAATAATAGTTTCGATCCCATTCTTATCCTTTAACAGATTATTAATGGATGTTATGTCGGACGGGTGAGTTTCAGGAGGTCGATCATACGCCAAAGCTGCACCGATAGTCGCTGCTATGATTAACTTCTGAAACAAAATAATAACAATGTTAATCTCAAAACTTGAAATCACTAATTAAATACAATATTTTCATTTCTATTTACACATAGATAAATAATTGTGAAAATCACAGCATATTTTATGATGAAATATTAATTTTCTTTTATTAAAATCGTTCTTCCTAAGTTAAATACTTTTCGTTTTATCTTTATTTCCTATTCAGACTTCAAGAGTCTCATTCAAACAATTTAATGATTATACATCATAAGCAAGAATCGTTTGTTGTTTTGCTTAAAATCATTTGCAGCTACTGAATACGAAATCTTGCTGTTGAAAGTCGAACAGAAGCGAGATTCAAATCAATCTCGTGATTCGTTTCAAGAAGTCATTCAGAAACTTGATCAACCAATCTTATAACCAATCCTTACCAAAGAAGATGCTATCTAGCTCTGTTTAAGGAAGCTCGGTAAAGAATAAGGAATCTTTGCTTCCAATCATTTACACAGACCTAGAGGTGATAATAAAGTATTGTGGCTTTGCAAATGTAGAAAAGGCGATTGTTATCTTAATCTTTGAATTATTTCTTTCCATTTTATAGCAGCGGATGAAACTCGAAGATATTTATTATTAGGATCCACATAACAAACCTAATGTAGAACTGATGAGGTAAAGAATTCTACAGCTTCCTATGGCTGCAACATTTAACAAGCATTTTGATTGTTTCCAGACATATTTTTATTTCAATTGTAGTTTGAACTACACAGATCGTTGACCTGACGTAACGGTGAATATAGATAAGTACACCAATGGACGTAGGTATCCAGGTCATTTTATAATTACCAGATGTCTCTACCCGGTCCAGTATCCGCCGCAATGTAGAAGTCCTATAAAATGTTTTGAATGGACTTCCGGAAGCAGTGAGCCAATGCATTCGAACGTTACACGAAATGTCGCATTTCTGTAGGTATTTACAATCTAGGCTATAATAAAAAAAACAAAAATGTGCATTATTCTTAGCAATCCAAACAATTTTAACGAAATTTCACCAAAAACATTTGAAAATATAAAAAGAAAAAATATATGTCTAAAAATGGAAAAATAATTACATCGAAAAAAATTAGATTAAAGTTTGTTTGGGACTCCTTGGTAAAGTCAGTAACAAACACATAAACAACTTTAGTCTTAAATCTGTAGGGTTTTAACATATTTCTTGATATTTCAAGAATTTTTCGAATTAATGAAAAATCACTATTTCAGATGAAAAAAACAACAACATTGAGCACAATTTTCTCACGTTATATTTCATATGAGATTGCTCTAACTCTATCGTGCATGTTAAGATTTCCATATCAGCCTTATTAGGTGAACGAAAGGTTTTCTCAATTTCCTTTTAAACAATTATCCTGTTATTGTATGAGAACTAATAAACAGTTTTATTCTTAACCATAATTATGACTTATATTTTTACAAATCAGAACAGGGGCATCGAAATTCGTTTTGAGAAAAATTGTTATGTAATTTTGAATTTTTGAGGATGGCTCAATTCGAAGGGATTCTGAATTTTTAGAATCTTTTAAATATTTTGTGTAAATTCGATTGGACAGAATTTTAAAGCAGGGAACAAGGAGAAACCATGGGATAGAATACAGTAAGTGTAATTTTGGATGATCTTCAACTTTTGTAATTCTGCTTTCGCTACTTAAGAAGAAGATAATAATAAAATATCTTGAGAGTGGGAAATGCGCCATCGACCTAGGCTGGGATAGGACCTAGGTGATACGTACCTGTATCAGAATACAGTAAAAGAAATATTGAAATGAGTCCATACAATCCATAACTTATAAGCATAAGCATAAATTTAATACTCATATATTTAGAATACAATTACAAAAATAAACAAATCATCCTTGAGGGTAAATGATTGAAGTTGGCAAGAATTCTAAATCAGCCTAATACAAAAATCAGACGGTTCAATATTAGAATTCGTGTAGGAATGAATCTAGACGTTTTGATCGTTTCTCGTTCTTATAACGGTCGTTGTTGCATAGCGGAGGTGCCCAGAAGAGAGGAGGATGGCCCAAGTTTCGCCTTCAAAATGTTTCTGTGGTAGAGACTTCTTCTTTTACAGGACAATGAATTTTTGGAAAAAATGACTAAAACACAGATGTACATGGAGATTCAATTTGGGAAAACGATCGAATAAAGGAGGGTGGTGGCGGAGAGGCCGAATGGACTTACCCGTGGACACAGCTTCGCGAGTTGCCACTAACAACTCATGAAGACCCTTGGGTTCAGTACAATGTGAGGAAGTACTGTAACAGTACTTGTAACAAGGCCAACTGTTGTGCTCGGAGGTGAGGGACCAATACCACGCTCAACCTCAATTTTTCTTCAATTTTAATTAAGAGTACTCACTTTATAGAGGCTGAGTTTGCCCCAGGAGGGTCTCTTGGCCCTCTTATACTATTGTATTATTTACTAATATACTAACATTATATATTTCGCTATAAAATTATATATCTATTAAGCATTTGTTAAATGAGTAAGTTTTTGTAACTTTTCATCTGACAAATAAAACCTCTGTAGTTGTGACAAAAAAATGTTAAGACAGAACGAAAATACCAAGAGGTTCTTCGTGCACGCATCGCTAATGAATTATGACGGCTGGCTTTCTTTCTCTTCGCCTAATCCTGAAGCGGTGTTTCTTTCCGAGGTGTCCCCGATGTAATGACGCAAAGGTGATCGTCTCTTCTTCCGGCAACAGAACTGACGAAAGTTACCAAACCTGAAGGTACCATGATTATACTCTCTGTTGTTCTATTGATTTTCCTGATTCATAATTATCGAAGAATATAACTTGAACATAAACTTTTTGGGGGAAAAATATTCTAATTAGAGTGAACGCTCCAGTTATGGACAGGGGGGCCCAGCGATGGACAGGTCGAACTTTAAATGTAAATAATAAGCTTCCATGCTGATTGAAAGAAAACAGTTTTTTTCAAGATTGAAGAACAATACCCTCTATTGACAACGTTATGAACAAAGTTCCCAAAATTTTAAAATGCCTATCATTGTTGTTTCTATAGTGGTCTTGAGATCAGTTTATTACCTTTCTATTAACATTTTTGATAAGAGTAAGTTGAACATTTATCTTACCTTATCTCCATCGTTATCTTTATAGTTAAATAAAGATTTTAGAATTCTTCTGAGGTATGTCTATTACGGGATCCGACCCCCTGCCAGTTACTAGAAGAATTGAATTTCGGAATGTCCATCACTAATGCAAAAAGGTGTTTTTTTTTTTTAATGGAGGTTATACCTGTATAAATTAACATTTTTTTCAATTTTAAAGTGTTAAATAGAAAAAGGAGACCCTAGAGATAGACGGTGGTATAATCCAAAAATTACAATAATTTCCTCAGCTATGTCTATGACTGGTGCGCTTACCCTAATGGGATGGTTAGTGAATTCGGAAACAGGAAAGAAAGTTATATGGAGAAACATACAAGAGATATGGACGTTCTTGATAAATATGAATTTTAATTATATATTTCTCGAATTATTTATCTAGGATAAAGTGCAAAATAGAATTTTGAATCGAAACAATTTATTTTTCTGAAATTTTCTTCTCATATTAAAAGTGATTATTTCTCATAATGTTATTTAATGATATTAGTTTTTTTATTTTTTCAAAAAGACGATTTAATTTAAATTCCTTCGAGGTAATGAAATACACTTAGAGCGGTTACGTGCTCAGCGTTGATACCAGGAGATGGCATGTGTTGTTGAGAACACATCTCCCGTTGAGTGATGTAAGGCAATCAAGAGTCCCACTCAGGTGACATAAGTTGAGACCTCTTTGGAGCTCTGTACCGCCTCAACCTGGATGAACGAAGAAGGATGGGTAAGGATGACTATAAGATCTTAGGGGAAAGCTAAACACAGTCCGACAAATTGCTTATTTAAATTTAATAAATGTCTTTGACATTTTTCCATTAAATCTTACGCAACGTTCGATATTGCCATATTGAATGTAGATTTCATTCTTATAAAACCATTTATATTTTAGTCATGATTCTGAATTGATGTCTCGAGATCTTAAACGACTGTCTTAGATATAGTGACTAGCTAGTTTTAATCCTAAAATATCGGTAGTGGTATGATGTTTTTACGAAATGGTTTGGGTAAGTTGGGTATGTATTGTAAGTTGGGATGAATTTTTAAGAGCTTGTAGTTTATATAATCGGTATTGCTAAATTTAATAATTATAAAATTTACATTTATGAAATATTTTTGCAAAAAGAAAGTTTTTAATTTATAGCAAAATATTCTACACTAGAAATTATTATATCTATCTTAAGAGAATGAAATTGTTTATCTATTTGAACATCTTGATAGATAGTTAGGGAAATTTACATATATGAATATTTAATTAATCATTAAATTTATCACCACTTATCTCTGTTAAACAAATCCGATACCTTGGACTCCACTTGGAAAAACGTCTAACTAGAAATATTCATACCAGAACGAAACGACAAGAAACCGCTCGACGTTTCCGACTTCTGCAGCACTTATTAGACAAACGTTCCAAGGTTCCAGTTAATTACAAAAGACTCATATACATAACTAAGATGAGACCTATTTGGGTTTAAGGAGTTGAGCTTTGGCGTTCCACAAAGCCATCGAATTCCTCTTGCATCCAGTCCTTACAATCCAATGTTTTTCGTAAAATCCTCAATGCTCCTTAATTTGTGACAAATAAAATCATCCATAACGATCTTAACGTTCCTTATTCTTCTGATCTGTCCCGATCCAGATACCTATCCTTCCATAAAAAACTTCAGAACCATCCCAAACCTCTCTTTTCAACTCTTGCTTTCACTTTGATGGCTGATAATCCTCTGAGGAATCTGAAAAGTTGGTGGCCTTTGTAGAAGTATTTTTTAGAGTGCTGCCATTGAGTAGTTTCATGTTATTATATTCTTGTGTTCACATTTACTGAATGCATTTTTATTTCTAATACA